TGGCCGGGGGCGGCGCCAACATGACGGTAGGAGGAGGTTGCAGGAAGAGTAGGGCGGCGAGGCTGCGCGGGAGTGTCGCCGGCCGCTGGTGGTGGTGGCGGGTGGTCCGTGTGGCGGTCCGGGAAAGGAGGCGAGCTAGAGGAAAAAGAAGGGTCGCGTGATGTTGGATGTGCATTTGACGTTAATTCGAAATTCGGTCGACTTACCTGTAGCCACGCCCAACATATTTATAGTCTTTTTTTGCCAAAAATTTATAGTCCAACACTCAGTCCTCACATGCGGTTTAAATGTGGGTCAAAAGTTGATCGTTGTTTTTCATTTATTGCATATGTCTGAGTTTCCAATGTGAATCTTGTACCGACAGACACGACAAAAATGTCAACCCTCCGTCGACCGCCGTGATCAGGGGCATGTGTCCCCATGTTTGCCGAGTGCCCGGCTCTTTATAGTGTTTTCTAGTATGCACTTGGCAAAGCCAAGGCTTTCGTGACTGCTGGCTTTGTGCCGAGTCTTTTCCGCTGCACTCGGTTTTAGGAGGGCCTTTGTTGAGTGCCCGACAGAATGCAGACACTTAACAAAGTGCAAGACACTCGGTAAACTCGTCAATTTGGATAGTGCCTTCTTATGATTTTTATTCATTACAACAACAATGCATTATTATCTCCATATATAGAGAGAGAAGCTATTCTATTCTGTGTATGGATCCATCGTCCATGGTTGCTTTGAGATCCATGCTACATTTTTGCTGTTTTCACAATTTGTCTTGTTTCAAAGAGTTACATTGGTTTTTTTTTCCAGTTTCAAAGTATATCTTAATGTTTCATTGTGTATAACCCTGTATCAGCAAACCCGATCAAAACAAATGCATTCTTTTCTTATTGGTGCACAATGAAACATGATGATACATGTTGAAACAAGATAAAACCAGATGAAACATTTTAAAACTAGGTAAATTTTGACAACCTAAAAGTTAGTACGGATCTCATAGCAATCACGAATGATGGATTCATGAACAAGATATCCCGTGCATGACAGATAAACCACTCTATATTTCTCCCCTGTGCAATTTTGTTCCAGGAGTATCAACACTACATGAATTAGCTTATTTGCCGTCCATCATGGCTGACGGCAAAGGCACCAAAAGCGGACGGCAAAAACTCTTTGCCGTCCGCCACCGACGGCAAACATGCCCGGCAAAGAGAGTGATGGTAAACAGGTTCTTTGCCATCTGCTTCTTCAAAGCGGACGACAAATGCCCTTTGCCATCGGTGGCAGACGACAAAGAGTTTGGACGGCAAAAAAGAGACGTTAGCCACGTTAGGTGGCTAACAGAAGGATTTGTCGTCTGCCACCGACAACAAACGTGCTTCGACACATCACCCAGTCAAACCGACATTTGTCGCTCGGTCAAAGTACGTCGTCTGCCACCACCCGACGCCCCGTCCCATCGACGGCCACCTCGCCTTCCACCCCGTCCTGTCGTTGCGACCCGTCCCGAGGTGCCGACATTAATGAGCAGTAATGCCGGCTGCCGGCCCAGCCGCCCACCTCCCGTCGCCCGGATGACTATAAGACCCCACCCCGGCGCCCACACCGCCACACCCGACCTCACACCCGATCACACCGCCGATGAGAAAACCAGCGCAGCACCGGCGATATCGTACCATTGCGGGAGCAGCAGTGCCGACGGTGACGGCGATGCCCCGAGCGCCTGGTCGTCCAGCCTCGGCAATTCGGAGACGATGGAGCTGTGCTGGTACGGCCTCCTCGTGTCGTCGGGCTGCCGTCTTCCCTAGTAGTGGCATGTCAGCGCGGACGGCTATCTGCCGCTCGGCCCCGGCGCGACGGCGGAGGAGCTCCGAACCCACATCGGCGGCCACCACAACATCGTCGGCCGCCACAACTTCTGGAGAGCCAAGGTCTTCGACGACGTTATCGCCGCCTTCCGGGTGGCCGAGGCCGGCGTCACCCCCGACCCCACTGGCACGAGCGTACGCCTTTGCGCCCCGGCACTAGCGCATGGCCCGGCCTGGCGGGAGCGTCGTCGTGGATCTGTCCACTGTCGGTGTCAAAACCGGCAGATCTCGGGTAGGGGGCCCAAACTGTGCGTCTAAGGATCAATGTAATAGGAGACCAAGGGACACAATGTTTACCCAGGTTCGGGTCCTCTTAAAGAAGGTAAAATCATACTCCTGCTCAATTATATTCGAAAAGTATGGAGATTACAAGAGTTGATCTACCTCGAGATCGTGGCGGCTAAACCCTAGATGTCTAGCCTATGAATATTGCGATGATAATAATGAGGATAGCCTCTACGGACTAACCCCTCCAGTTTATATACACACCGGAGGGGCCTAGGGTTTGTACAAGGTCGGTTCATCATGGAAGGAAACAATACACCCGGACTCTAATCTTGCCGTTCACGTATGGAGAAGTCTCACCCGGACACGTTGGATAGTCTTCAGCTAGATCTTGTACGACCCATCCAACTCGGTCCATACTCCTAGGCCGGACACCTGAGGACCCCTGAATCCAAGACTCCCTCAGTAGCCCCCGAACTTGTTGTCAATCACGATGTAGTATGCAGATATAAGTCTTCGGCTTTGCAAGGCGGGTTCTCCACCATACTTCAGATTGATGATAGTCCGACATCAGCTTTTGTGTCCAGTCTTTATGATTCCTCCCTATGGTTGCCTCGATTTCCGCGTGTCCGAGCGAATGCGAATGGTCCATTAACTTTTTACATTTTAACCCTTTAATAGGCACGGGCGGCATTTATATAACAAGGTTAGATCCCCGAACGCCATCCCACATCGCCCAAAGAGCAACAGAGCAAACCACGGAAAACTTAAACCATGGCTAGCGCCCTGGCTCCTCCTCGCATCCTCATGGACCTCAAGAGGGGGATTGGCAAAGTTGTTATGTCTCCCATCTCCAGCTCAATTGTCTCCAGACGCAAGGATATCTTCCCCCGCGGATCTAGTCTTCGTACGGGCAGGATTAGCTTCTACAGGCGATGGTGCATTGGCAGAGAATTTCCCCAACCCCAGGCAAGGGGAGAGGGTGTGCTTCATCTCGTTCCTTCTGAGGGGCGTAGGATTCCCGATCCACCCCTTCCTCAGGGGTCTATTGGAATATTACGGGATCCAGCTGCACAACCTCACACCAGGTTCCATTCTGCATATTTCTAGTTTTGTCGCCCTCTGTGAATTATTCTTAGGCTGCGAGGCTCATTTTGAACTATGGAAAAAGTTCTTTTGCCTCGTCCCCCGCCACCACGGTGGTGGGCCTATATTTGAAGTGGGCGGCGCCGAAGTATGGCGCATAGCCGGATCCAGATACCCAGTCGGGACTTGATACATCTCCAACGTATCTATAATTTTTTATGTATTCATGCCATGTTTATAATAATTCTACATGATTTTGGTATGATTTGATTAGAACTAACCCAGACTGACGCTGTTTTCAGCAGAACTACTATGGTGTTGTTTTTGTGTAGAAATAAAAGTTCTCGGAATGCGCTGAAAATCCACGGAGATTTTTTCTGGAAAATATAAAAAATACTGGAACAAAGAGTTACCGGAGGGGAGGCCCCTGGACCCCACAAGGGTGGAGGGTGCGTCCACCCACCTGGGGCGCGCCCCTGTGCCTCATGGACTTCCTGTGGGGCCTCCTGACTTGTTCTCGACACCAACCTCTCCTATAAATCCCCAAACCTCCAGAAAATAACCTAAATCGGGAGTTCCGCCACCGCAAGCCTTTGTAGCTACCAAAAACCTCTTCGGAGCCCGTTCCGGCACCCTGCCGGAGGGGGGAATTATCACCGGTGGCCATCTTCATCATCCCGGCGCTCTCCATGACGAGGAGGGAGTAGTTCACCCTCGGGGCTGAGGGTATGTACCAGTAGCTATGTGTTTGTTCTCTCTCTCTCTCTCTCTCTCTCTCTCTCTCTCTGTCTCTCGTGTTCTTGATATGGCACGATCTTGATGTATCGCGAGCTTTGCTATTATAGTTGGATCATATGATGTTTCTCCCCCTCTACTCTCTTGTAATGGATTGAGTTTTCCCTTTGAAGTTATCTTATCCGATTGAGTCTTTAAGGATTTTAGAACACTTGATGTATGTCTTGCATGTGCTTATCTGTGGTGACAATGGGATATTCACGTGACCTACTTGATGTATGTTTTGGTGATCAACTTGCGGGTTCAGTGACCTTGTGAACTTATGCATAGGGGTTGGCACACGTTTTCGTCTTGATTCTCCGTTAGAAACTTTGGGGCACTCTTTGAAGTTCTTTGTGTTAGTTGAATAAATGAATCTGAGATTGTGTGATGCATATCGTATAATCATACCCACGGATACATGAGGTGACATTGGAGTATCTAGGTGACATTAGGGTTTCGGTTGATTTGTGTCTTAAGGTGTTATTTTACTACGAACTCTAGGGTTGTTTGTGACACTTATAGGAATAGCCCAATGGATTAATCGGAAAGAATAATTTTGAGGTGGTTTCATACCCTATAATAATCTCTTCATTTGTTCTCCGCTATTAGTGACTTTGGAGTGACTCTTTATTGCATGTTGAGGGATTGTTATATGATCCAATCATGTTATTATTGTTGAGAGAACTTGCACTAGTGAAAGTATGAACCCTAGGCCTTGTTTCGAAGCATTGCAATACCGTTTGTGCTCACTTTTGTTACTTGCTACCTTTTTGTCTTTATATTTTCAGATTACAAATACCTATATCTACCATCCACATTGCACTTGTATCACCATCGCTTCGCCGAACTAGTGCACCTATACAATTTACCATTGTATTGGGTGTGTTGGGGACACAAGAGACTCTTTGTTATTTGGTTGCAGGGTTGTTTGAGAGAGACCATATTCATCCTATGCCGATTGATAAACCTTAGGTCATCCACTTGAGGGAAATTTGCTACTGTCCTACAAACCTCTGTACTTGGAGGCCCAACAACGTCTACAAGAAGAAGGTTGTGTAGTAGACATCAAGCTCTTTTCTGGCGTCGTTGCCGGGGAGGTGAGTGCTTGAAGTTATGTCTTTAGATCTTGCAATTGAATCTTTTTGTTTCTTATTTTATCACTAGTTTAGTCTATAAAAGAAAACTACAAAAAAAACTGTTATTGAGGGTGCCTCGTATGCTTCATATTTTTAATATGTTTCGTGAAAATGATGGAAAGGAAAATTGTGCCAAAGTGTTAGAAGAAGAATGCACTAAAATGTTTGGCACTAAATCTTTGAATGATGAGCATGATTGCAATGTTGTTAGTATGAACTCTTTGAATATCCATAATACTAATGATGATTGTACTAGTCATGATAAAAATATCTCTTATAAGCATGTCAACTTTTGTGGAGTGTGTAGAGTTTGCAAGTACACACCAAATAGGGAAGATATATTTTCCAAGAGGCATAAGTATTTAGAAACTAAATGGTTGCAAGAAAGGCTAGATGTTTGTGCTGAAAATTTAAATTTTCTTAGGCATCCTTGTGAACTTTGCAATGAACATGATCACTTAAATATCCAATGCAAATTGTTTCATGATCGTATCATGTCCAAAAATTGTGATGACTTGATTTCCCTTGCGCATCATAATGAACTTAGTTTGCTTATGGGTTATGAAGAAATGAAACGTATAACTAAGGATATTCCAGAATTTTCCCTTGAGCAAGTTCTTGATTTTGATCTAGAGGAAATTTATATGTATTGTGCAGTGAATTGCACTGAAAATCCTTATATTTCCAATTACATAAAGACAAGGAAACAAATAGAAGATGAAGAGAATACTAATGAAAGGGAATAGATTTACCAATATCCTCCTATTATTTATTATGATGAATGAGGTAACGAGGAGGAGCTTTCTATTCAACCAATCTCATTAATAAGGAGCTCCAAAAAAAGGACTAAACCCACACATAATGTGGAGAAGAAAAAGAAAAGACGGAGAAGCAAAGGTAAAAAGGTATCCCTTCCAAATGATGTTGCTCCTATTACTCATTGTGATGATGATATTAATGCCACTCATGATCAGACCATTGGCCCTTTCGACTTGGCCATTTTTTTGAGGGTGGTATACAGATGCATAGTCGGGTTTAGTGCCCAACTTAACGCACCAGGTTTTCACCCCATCAGCTGTAAAATTGGAGCCATTATCAGTGATGATACTATGCGGGACACCCTAACGGTGGACTACACCAGATATAAAGTCAATCATTGGCCCTGCCTCAGCTGTTTTTACTGGTTTGGCCTCTATCCATTTAGTGAATTTATCTACCATTACCAACAAGTATTTCTTTTTGTGGCTTCCCCCTTTAAGGGGACCTACCATATCAAGCCCCTAGACCGCAAAAGGCCAAGTAATGGGGATTTTTTTAATGCAATGGGAGGCATGTGACTTTGATAGGCGAAAAGCTGACAGCCTACACAACATTGGACAAGGGCTTGAGCGTTTGCTCGAGCCGTGGGCCAAAAAAACATGTCCTGAACGCGTTGCCTATGAGGGCTCGAGCTGCGGCTTGATGACCGCCCAGGCCATCATGTATTTCTACCAAGAGTTGTCTTCCCTCCTCTTCGTAGATACACCTTTGGAGGACTCTGGTAGTGCTCTTTTTGTACAGTTCACCCTCATGCACTTTGAAGGCTTTAGAGCGCCGAACTATGCATCGAGCTTCATTTTGATCGTCGGGAAGCTCCTGCCTATTAAGGTAGGCCAGGAATGGCTCAGTCCAGGGAGCGATAAGGGCCATGATATCATGAGAAGAGAGTGTTATCTCGATACCGGGACCCCCGATGGTGTCTGCATTATGTTCGGCAGCTGGGGGTGTGACAAGGTCCACACTATCTTCTCTGCTCTCACCCTAACATACTACGGATGGAACAAAGAGCCTTTCCACGAAAGTGTTAGGTGGCACATGGTCGCGCTTAGCGCCCATGCAGGCAAGGATGTCGGCTGCCTAATTACTGTCTCGAGCGACATGATGGAACTCAAGTCCCTCGAACCAAGTTGATATTTTTAATATGTCGTTTTGATATGCCGCCATTTTTGGGTCCTTTGCATCGAACTCTCCATTGACATGGGATATTGCGAGGTT